ACAGCAGCAGCAACGGCAGCAGCAGCAGCAACAGCAAGAGCAGCAGCAACAGCAACAGCAGCAGCAGCAGAAGCAGAAGGTGCTGCAGCACTTGCTGCTGCAGGAGGAGTTGTTGCATCTCCGCCTGCAGCAGCAGCAGCTGCTGCTGCTGTTGCTGCTGCTGCTGCTGCTGTTCTGCTTCCTGTCGGGATTCCAGTTGCTGCAACAGCAGCAAGTGCTGCAGCAGCAGAAACCTCAGCAGCAGCTGCTGCAGCAGGAGGCGGTCCAGCAGCAGCAGCAGCAGCAGCAGCAGTTGCTGCAGCAGGGTCTATAAGGGTCCAGGGTACACTCCCCCCAAACAATGCTGCTCCCCGCTGCTTCTGTCGCTGCTGTTGCTGCTGCTGCTGCCGTTGCTGCTGCTGCTGCTGCTGCTGCTGCTTCTCTTCTCTCAGCTGCTGCTCCCATGCTGCAACCTTTGGCTGCAGCTGCGGGGGTTTAGGCGGGGCCCCCAGGGGCCCCCTCCATTGCTGCTGCTGCTGCTGCTGCTGCTGCTGCGTGCAGCGACGTATGAAAGCTGTTGCTGCTGTTGCTGCTGCTGCTGCTGCTGCTGCTGCTGCTGTTGTTGTTGTTACTGTTGCTGCTTCGGTTTCAGCTGCTGCTTCTCCCTCTGTCGGGTCATATGCTGCTGCTCCTCCTGCTGCTCCTGCTGCTGCTGCTGCTGCTGCTGCTGCTGCTGTTGCATGCGCTCTAATGAAGCTGCTTAGCTGCTGCTGCAGCAGATGTGCTGCTGCAGGGACCTCCTCAGCATCTCCCCCCCCACAATGTGAGCGATCCTGATGAGCTTTTGCTGCTGCTGCTGCTGCTGCTGCTGCTGCTGCTGCTGGTGCTGCTGCTGCTTCTGCTGCTGCTGCTGCTGCTGCTGCTGCTGGAGAGGTATCCTCATCGCTGCAGCTACGGGGAGAGGGTGGGGGGGGAGAAGCATCTGCAGCAGCTTCAGCTGCTGCTTCTTCTGTTGCTGCTGCTGCTGCTGTTGTTTCTGCTGCTGCTGCTGCTCCTGTTGCTGCTGCTGCTGCTGCTGCTGCTGCTGCTGCTTGCGGGGCAGTGTCTGCTGCTGCAGCAGCAACCTCAATATCGCAGCGGTATCTCTTGGGCGGATGTAACTCCTGCTGCTGCTGCTGCTGCTGCTGTTCTTCCTGCTGCTGCTGCTGCTGCTGCTGTTCGTGCTGCTGCTGCCCTTGCTGCAGTGTATCCTGCTGCTGTTGCTGCTGCTGCTGTACCTGCAACTGTTGCTGCTGCTGCTGCTGTTGGTGCTGCTGGCATCGAGTTTGCTGCTGTTCCTGCTGCAGGTGCTGCTGCTGCTCCCTGTCTTGCTGCTGCTGCTGCTGCTGCTGCTGTTGCTGCAGTTGCTGCTGATCCTGCTGCGTCGCCTCCCTCTGCTGCAGCTGCTGCATTTGTTGCTGCTGCAGTTGCTGCTGCTGTTCCCCCTTCTCTATCCAATGCGCAGCACCTGTATGTGCTGCTGCTGCTGCTGCTGCTGCTGGTGCTGCTGCTGCAGCTGTTTCTGTTGCTGCTTCTGTTGCTGCTGTTGCAGCAGTTTCTGCTGCAGCAGCAACTGCAGCAGGTGCTGCTGCAGCTGCCCCTGCTTCAAGTATATCAATGAAATCGTTGTCTCCTCTTCTGCTGCTGCTGCTGCTGCTGCTGCTGCTGTTGCTGCTGCTGCTGCTGCTACTGCTGCTGCGGCTAGCGATGAGTTTCTTCTCTATTATATACTTTCTTAGCCAACCCTTAAAGACAACGCAATACTGCTGCAGCAGCAGCGGTGCTGCAGCAGCAAGTCTGAATAAATGATATTCTTGTGCTGTCCACATGCTGCTGCTGCTGCTGCTGCTGTTGCTGCTGCTGCTGCTGCTGAGGAGGAGCAGGGGAGCAGGAACTGCAGCAGCAGCAGCCCAAGACGGAGACGCATCACCCAGCAGCAGCAAAAAGCAGCAGCAGCAAACCCGCAGCAGCAGCAGCTGCTGCGGGTCGCGGGGGGGGACAGAAGAAGAACCAAGAAAATAGCTGCACAGACATTCCACACAAATGCTGCTGCTGCTGCTGCTGCTGCTGCTGCTGCTGCTGCTGCTGTTGCTGCTGCTGCTGTTGCTGCAGCTGTTGCTGCAGCTGTTGCTGCAGCTGTTGCTGCTGTTGCTGCTGTTGCTGCTGCTGCTGCTGTTGCTGCTGCTGCTGCTGCTGCTGTATACTGCAGCGATGTTGCTGCTGTCGCTGCTGTTGGTGCTGCTGCTGCTGTATACTGCAACAATGCTGCTGCTGCTGCTTTCTGCTGTCTTGCTGCTGCTTCTGTCATTGCTGCTGCTGCTGCTGCTGCTCCCCCCATTGCTGCTGCTGTTGATGCAACCCGTTCCGCTTCTGTTCTCGTTGCTGCTGCAGTTGCTGCTGCAGTTGCTGCTGCAGTTACTGCTGCAGTTGCTGCTGCAGTTGCTGCTGCAGTTGCTGCTGCAGTTGCTGCTGCCGATGCTGCTGCAGTTGCTGCTGCAGTTGCTGCTGCCGATGCTGCTGCAGTTGCTGCTGCAGTTGCTGCTGCAGTTGCTGCTGCGGTTGCTGCTGCCAATGCTGTTACGGCAGCTGCTGTTGCTGCTGTCCAAGCTACTACTGCTGCTGTTGCTGCAGTTGCTGCTGCAGTTGCTGCTGCGGTTGCTGCTGCAGTTGCTGCTGCAGTTGCTGCTGCAGTTGCTGCTGCAGTTGCTGCTGCAGTTGCTGCTGCAGTTGCTGCTGCAGTTGCTGCTGCTGTTCCAGTGTTGCTGCTGCGTGTGCTGCCGCGGGTCGTTGGTTTGGGGCTGTCTCGTGCATGCAGACGGAGGGGGGGAGCAGCACCAACAAAACCCCAGCACTCTCTCGCTGCATCTCTCAGACATCTCTGCAGCAGCAGCAGCAGCAGCAGCAGCAGCAGCAGCAGCAGGAGCAGGAGCGGGAGCAGCAGCAGCAGCAGAATACGGGTTTCTTTAACATCTTTTCGGCATAGAGAGAGAAATAAATAGGGTTTAGGGTTTAGTCACAAACGCCAAAGGCTGTATTAGGGTTTAGGGTTTAGGGTTTAGGGTTTAGGGTTTAGGGTTCGGTATAGAAGACCATCAACAAATTCAGCGTATTGCATCTTCCTAGCTATCAGAGGGTTTAGGGTTTAGGGTTTAGGGTTTTAGGGTTTTAGGGTTTTAGAGTTTCAGGGTTTAGGGTTTAGGGTTTAGGGTTTAGGGTTTAGGGTTTAGGGTTTAGGGTTTAGGAGCATCGATGCTTGTCAGGCCGGGGTGAGCGTACCTCTTCCTTTCTGTATGGGGGGAGAGGAGAGAGCTGCAGCAGCAACAGCAGCAGCAATTGCTGCTGCTGCTGCTGCTGCTGCTTTTGTTGCAGCAGCTAGAGGATCTTGTGCAGCAGCAGCAGCAGNATTGCTGCTGCTGCTGCTGCTGCTGCTTTTGTTGCAGCAGCTAGAGGATCTTGTGCAGCAGCAGCAGCAGAAGTTGCTGCTGTTGTCTGTCGCTGCTGCTGCTGCTGCTGCTGCTGCTCGCGGATGAATTTACATTGTTATATTCATTGTTTTTTTTGGTGTTTTTTTAGGGTTTTGTTTTCTGTTGTTTTGCTTCAGTTTATAATAAATATATTTGCTCTAGGGTTTAGGGTTTAGGGTTTAGGGTTTAGGGTTTACCGAGCGGCTCAGCGGGTATGCAGCAGCAGCAGCA